TGTCTCAGTCGGTTAAGCGTCTGCCTTCAGCTCAGGTCATGATCCCAGGGTCCTGGGATCAAGTCCCGAGACGGGCTCCCTGATCAGCAGGGAATCTGCTCCTCCCTCTCCCCTGCTCGTGCTCTCTCTCTCTCTCGCTCAAATAAATAAGTCTTTTATTTTAAAAAGGGGGTAAAAAACTACTTCCCATTTAATTTCGGTAAGGAGCTGAATCTGGTTGAGGAAGCCAGAGGAAGAGGGCCGGTGCCACAGGTCCTAGTGCGATGAAAGATGAAGAAGCAGAGTTCCCCTGGGCACCAAACAAAGGCTAGCCACCACAGCCAGACTGCCTCACACTGCTGCTGGACCACGTAAAACTTGATTTTATTTACAGAAGAAATTCTGAAAGAGAGAGCTTCCACTTGGCGTGGAATCACCTCGCCACCACCCCAGCCCTGCGCCCTAAGCACGTGCACCCTGTTGCTGGTAACCGAGGACCAGCCTGGCCTACAGGAGCCCAGTGCATCCCACTGACCATGTGCTGGAGCCAAACACTGGGCTACCACTCAGTATAAATAGGGCTTTCTTTTAGTACAATGATACTTCAAGTTTGTATCTTATGTCCCCAAGTAAGTTTCTTGAAAAGCATCTTACACTCCTTGCGTGCCCCACATCAAGCACAATTTACTACACATAGTAAATGCTCAATAAATACCTACCTGTCAACAAGTCAGGAGGTAGCTCGTACCTACAGAAACACTACCTCAATTTTCTCATCAAAGTTTCCTGAAGGAATAATTTTAAGAGACAGAGAAATCACTTACTCTATAAAATCATGATCCTTCAAAATGGAAATCTTCTTGTTCATCTGTTTATCTGTTGATGGAAGGTATTTAACAAGTATATCTACAAAAAAAAGAAAAAGAAAGAAACTTAGGGTGTCATCAGACAAAAGTGTGAACCCTCTAAAATTACCGTCCCTTCCACCAACAATCAAGACATGTGTAAACAGTTTTACCTAATTCACACCAAAAAGCTCCAGTGAGTCCAATTCAATGAGATCTTTAGTTAGCCCCTGAAAAGCTACAGAATTCCAGGGCAGGGGAGAAAACATCCACAACCTCAACACACAAAACCTGGTAATTAAGACAGTGGCAGTATGCGGGAAGTTACACCCACCAAAAGTATAGGAGCTGTACAAACATGAGGAATTGTTTCTAACAGTAAGTTTTCAAAAGCCAGAATTCAAAACTGGGTATTAGTGATTACAATCATAAGCAATTCAAAGTGAACATGTAAAAATTAACAAAGCTTTTTGGGGTAGCAGAGTAATGACTGATTTTTCTACTTTTAAAATTTCTTTTTTATATTTCTACGTTTTGGTTTTTTAAGTGTAAAAATAACTAAAATGTAGATTTTGTTCAAACTGTTTGCAAATCAGTATTTCATGGTCATCAATATTATTCTGATATCAGGAGGCTAATCTCAAAGCTAGTTTTCTAAGAGACCTGGCAAGGCCCAGTTTTTGTTTTTTAATTTCTATTTTGAGAAATAACATTATTATTCTGCCCATAGGATGGAGTAGTTTCACCTTGAACAAGTTTCTATTTCCACTACAATTTATATTAAAACTACCCCAAATTATATACTCAGTAAATCTCTGGCCATATTTCTTCATGGCCTACAAAACTAGTTCTCTGCTGCTTCAGGAGAAAGGGGAAAGAAACATTTTTCTATGCACCATTATTAATATTTGGAATTTCCACAGCATAAATTTAATAGCTAAATCATTTTTTTAAAATAGTAATACCGATGATGGCTAATTAGTAGGCCACAGAAAAACATAAATGAAATCAATATTTCATCATGGTATTAAACCCCCAAAACAAGGACTATATATTTATCCCTGTCATTAGCACAGCGCCTCACACAGTAAGTGCTTAAATTAACATTTTTTAATTTTTTGTTCTCTAATCTATCCTGTGTTTAGTGACAGTGACAATGTCTCAGTTCAAAAATTTCCATTTCTTCCCATCTTTTTAATATTATATTCTTTCCCTTAGTGGGTCTTCCTTTTTTCTGTCTGACCTAATGCAACAAAACTTTTCTCACTTCTTCCTTTCCTCAGTACTGACTGGAGCCTTGTTTTTCACTTCAACACTCAAAATACATGGTCAGTGAGTGTCTTCCCCTATCTAGGGGAAAATAAATGATACACATTTTAAGGTTTTGCCATTTTTTAAAACTTAAAAAAACCACATCCCCAGATGGGGATAACAAAAAGAACTGTATCTTCTTAGTAAGAACAAAGTTGGTTCCAACCTTCTGAGACATGAACACAAGCGTGAGGATTCTGGACGGAAATGAATCCGTATTCCAGGAGCAGCCGCTGGTTATCATGAGGGCCATAGCAGATGAACACCTGTTCATGTTTCCTGCAGCCTGAAACCGTTCTAATTTCATAACAGTGAGTTTCCTCATTAAATGCTGCTTTTACCTAGGAAGGAAAATTGTTACGGTTTTTTTTTAAAGCCAAGCATAAAACTGAAAATACTAAGTTTACTGTATTACAGTCAGATGCAGCTTTCAAACACTCATCACAATGTGAATTTAACCACATGTGGGAAAATGCCAGCCCTGCACTTGGGGCTCTTGTGTGCCTCCATGTCCCCGCTCAGTGAGGGAGGGGGTCCTGCCCAAGGGCTCTCAGGATGGCCAAACGCAGGACTCCTGAAAATGGACAGGTATGCCGGAGAGCAGTTCACTAGTCACATATACAGCCTAGAGGGAAAGGACACCCTAGGCATGCAGGGGCTGATAACAGGAGGCTAATCTCAAAGCGAGCTGTGTGACCAGCAGGGGCGAGCTGTGTGACCAGCAGGGGCCACGGGAAGCAGGCTTAGGAGTAACAGGAGGTGACCCCCTGGCTCCCGCAGGGAGATGTGAGTGCTCATGTGAAGAGGCAGGCAGGAAGGGGAAACCGTCAGGCTGAGGGCCAGGCAGGGTGCGGCTAGTCCAGCTGATGGGGCCTTTCCCTCTGGGTGGGGGGCATATCCAGGGAGAGCAGAGGAACTCACAGTCAGGCCCCTGGGGTCCTGTGATGCCCAAAGATGTCAAAGCAGCACATGAATTTCAGGTCTCACAATACATAGCCTTTGAGCAGCAGGATATTGGCTGACACAATCATATGGATTTTGTGACAATTCTGTTAACAGGTAACAGAGGAAAGGACCAAGATGACCCACCTGCCCTCCACACTAAGGCGTGGGTACAAGGTCTGAGGCCACTACACTACACAGTAAACCCCAATGAGGACAAGGATAAGGAACGGGGCTGAAATCCCCAGCTTGCAGCATCAACAGATTAGGGCCATGGTCTTGAGTTAAATGCCAAAAGCCAGCTGTAATACGCTTTAGACCAAGGGTCAGCAATCTTTTTTCCATAAAGGGCCGGTGAGCAAGTATTTTAGGCTCTGCCAGAGCCCTGGGCCACATGCCTACAGGCTGTAGTTTGTGGGGCCCCTACGATCGCTGTCAAATCACTGGCTTGGAGCACAACTGCACTAACAGCCCAATAAAGACAAAGTCACCAAAGTGAGGACTGACTCGGTCCCTGTGCCCAGCACCCTATTTCAGGCACGCTCCCAACATTACTTCCATCACCATCAGTCACACAAATGGCCATCTAACCTCCATCTCCTTTGCTGAATACTATCAGAAATGCATCTTTCTACAACAGTACAAGCAGACAGGCAAGGAGACTGCCTCCGCCTGAGAAAAGCACAGTATGGGTCTCCCTACGCTCGCCTCGCACCAGCACGTGGGCTAGCCAGGTGTCGCCAATCTTCTCCAGGTGGGGTGCAGTATGAAGAGAACCACACGAGCAAGGGCCCAGCCAGTGCACCTCTAACTGGACCCTGAACGGGTTACAGGTGAGCCAACATAGGGACACCTTTGCCCTCAAAGCCAGGCACCTACCCTACCATGCCTACACATATAATCGTCTCCTTTATGTGCCAAAGGGGAAAAGGGCTGGAGATGAGATCTAGGACTATCTCCCAAAGAGGGATTCTTTAATATTTCCTAGACTCCTTCTCCCTACAAATATTCACCCATTCCGTAAGGGTTTATCAAGTGCCTACTACATGCCTGGCCCTGCACTGGGTTACAGGGAGAAATAACGCACAGTCCCCATCCTTACACAGCTCAGAGAGGGAGAGAGCAAGTCAACTGGGGATCACAGCAAAGATAAACGCTGACAGCGACAGCACCAGGTGTCAAAGGGAATGGGACAGGGAAGCAATCTGGACTTCATTCCCCATACTGAAGGAGGAAAGAGGACTCTGCACCAAAGCTGGGGGATGGAGGGAGTGCTGCTGGTCAAGGCCATTCAGGGGACATAGCACTGAGCTCTACTGGCCTGGAGAGCAGAGCGGGAAAACACGGGGAGGGGATGCCAGAAAGGAAAGGGGGGCTGGGCGAAAAGACAGGAAAATACCTGGTGGCAGGTAGGTTTACCTGAAGCCAGCAACACCTCACTCTATAGTTTCAAAGTCAGGTTCTACATGTCAGAGTCCTTCCTATCAAAACAGAACATGTGTACCCTTGTTGACTTCTCACCTGGACATGTGGGCTATGATTGAGCAGATCCAGGTATGGGGCGAGCGCGTAGGTGTTCGGCTCTGCGGACAAGCATTGCCTCTGCCTGTGCTCCACGTACACAGCCCTGGTGTTGACCGTGCACCAAGCCCACAGGAGGGCACTGTAGCTAAAGATGCTCTCAACAGCCTCAGAAAACAGAGGCTGCAGGGAAGAGACAAAGTCTCTGGAGGAAGAAAAGAACTCCTGCACGCGGGCTCTCTGCTCTTCAGCCTTTGCCTTCAAAGGTTTGGGAAACAGGTTCACCACTTCTGGTTCCAAACATACAGGGCAGGTGTAGGCCTTCGGTAAAATCTCCAGGTAAGGCTTCCAGAGAGACTGGTCCCCAGCATGCTTTTCTGAAACTAAAAAGGTGCACAGAGCCAGCAGAGGAGATGGAGGAGGCTGCCACCTTTTAAAAAATACAAGCCGGATTAAAAGAATTACTTTTATTTAAAATATGGAATAAGCCAGAGATACAGATCTCCTAGTGGTTTGTTCTGCTCCCAGAGGGGCTGTGGCCAAACTGTCCTTGCACTCCCACGTTTACTCCGTGCACCCAAGAGAGGGTTTTGCTTCCTCAAGACTTTCCTCTCCAGAGCGCATCCCGATGTAAATGCCCTAAACAAGTCACACTAAAGAGTGACAAGGACTGTCTCACTAACCCAAGTACCAGCTTTGCTTGCAAGAGAGTCCTTTTTATAAACAACCTCTTTGCTTCCAACTTGGTTCTCCAGTTTTAAAGCTTCTGCTCCAAGTTCACTTATTTCACTTGGATAAGGGTATCAAACTTGGTGGGGGGAAAAAACTGGCGGAAAGAACCTAGACCTGCCCCACCCAATACAGTAACCACTGGGTACATGTAGTTATTTCAGTTTTAGTTATTCAAAATTAAATAATATTTAAAATTCAATTCCTCAGTCATGTAGGCCACATTTCAAGCGCTCAATAGGCATATGTAGCTAACAGCTACCATACTGGATAAAGCAGAGTGAAACATTTCTATTCCTGCAAAAAGTTCTACTGTATGACTCTAACCTAGACAGAAAACTGAATCAGCTCATTATATATTTGCTACAGTTCTAAAGTTTTAGTTCCTAAATTTACCCACTCTATTACAAACTATACACTGCAGTATCTAATGTTGCATGAATGTATTTAGAAAAGTTTTCATTAATCCCTCAAAGTCCAGATTCCTATATTGCCAAATATCCTACTCAAAATTTCAGAATGATACAGAAAATGTTAATACAAAGAACATCCCTGCTTCTACTCAGATACATTTGCCCTCATAAAAACATGCCAAGGAGGTTAAAGTCCAGAACTTAGACCCTGAGTTAAGAAACAATACAATCTTACAACCCTCATAATTTAGAAACCCCTTCTGCTAAGGATCCCACTCACTCTGTCCTCAGAAAGTCCCCCAGAACAAAGGCCCACTATAACAAAAGCCAGAAAATAGTTCTCTCCTATTTTGGCCTCCTCTCTTCTATGCTAAACAAAACTACATAATGTCATAATGTCAACAGCTCTTCGTAGTTGAAGGAGAATTCAAGTAAATACAATAAGGGTGAAAATAAGGGTAACATCTGTGGAGACCTACTATGATGGAGAACAAGCTAGGAGGAGTCAACGCACTCAGAATGACTGACATCTATTCTCCCACTTTATCTTCATTTTCTAGTAAGTGATAGATCAGGATTCAAACCCACATCCCAGGCAGCCTATTAAAACCCTTAAAAATGCAGCTTAAAATGAATTAAGAACAAACTCAAGCACAGAGTAAACCTTCTGAATCATTTCAAATATGTATGAGGTATACAAAGGGGCTGGTCCTAACGAACTCTGCCTTAGAGGACATTATCTGCCAATGCTGTAGACTTTACAAGACAAGCGCTTGCACCAGACGAGCATGTATACGTTCACTTACTTAGCAATGTACGCCCCTAAGTAGCTTCTAATCACTGTGTCCGTGGTGAGCAGGCAACTCTCAGGCAACGAAATAATCATCTGTCCCTCCTTACCAAAAAGAAAGTGAAGTTTAGAACACCCATGTTTTGAGAAGGACCGTGTACTTGAGTCCACAATCGTCCACTAAGAACCCAGGATAACCCAACCACAGACACCAAAGAGCCCACCAACAGTGTGGCTCCCAAGCCCCTGAGTTGGCGGTTGCGGGCAAGTCTGCTCCAAGAACAAGTACTACAAGCCCAACAAGAATTAAAGGCTAATTATGTGACTAACATCCACTAACAGTCAACCCTTCATCAGAAAAGAATGTGGAAACACTCCTGACAAATCTTATCACTCCTTCACTTTCTTACACCAGGAAATAGTGCTATGGGAAGCAGGCAGAAACCACTCAAAACAACTCTTATCTGGTGAAATCCATGTGTCCAGCGACTATTCCCAGCAAAGGCCTACTCTCCATATAACCTGTGCCAACTAGACTAAGAAAAGGGCAGCCCAGCCAGCACATGGGTCTCATTTTACAGAAGTATAGTTTTCAGTTCCTCCCACTGAGATAGAAACATAGAAGAAAAATTAAGATGTCAAGTCACAGACACCAGAAACAAATAAAGCATTAAGAAGCCTGATGTTAATTAAGATCCTGGATTTCATTATAACTGGCATCTAAGTTGGTTAAAAATCTCAGCCAAAAATCTGGGTTCAATTTCTGGTTTCCTCATCTGTAAATCAAGATCAAGTTGGACAATCACTATAGTCCCTTCCTGCTCCAACAACCCGCAATTTTCTGATTTTAAAAAAGCCACTTAATAAAATGTTCTGTATCCTGACTAGAGTAAATCTCTTCATCTTCAACACTTACCAAACTGGATGCTTAAAATCTGTGCATTTCACTATGCGTAAAATATGTCCCAATTTTCAAAAAGCTTAACCAAAGGTCATATTTGAAAGCAGATGTGAAGCAACTGCCAATTATCATTTCATAATCTAAACAAAGACTACCGACATTTACTGCCATACACATGAGAAGTATATTTCCCCTCCCAAAATAGTCAGAACACAATTACATATTCCCTCAAAAAATAAAAATATTGTACAATGTGACTGTACTTAATATTTTTAAACTGTACACTTAAAAATGGCTGAGATGATAAATTTTGTCATACATATTTTACAATTAAGAAGTTTTAAATAAAAAAATAAAAGTGGCATAAGAGAATTACAACATTAAAAAGTACCATTCTTTAGGCTAAATGTGTATTTACATAGATGGATTTTAAAATTAAGGAACTAAAA